TCCAGCTCTCTACATTTTTCTAATATTTGCTTATGTAATATTTGTTATTAATCTTAAAAAGGAAAGGATGAATTAAATTTAATGCAGGTTTTTTTATGTTAATAAATAGAGGCATTCTAAAGTAATGTCTGTTATGAGACTGTTTACTTTTACAGAGAAAGGATTTATAAATTCGTCAATAACAAACAATGTTCATACTATTGGTGAAACAGAGAACTTTTGCTTTGAAGCTAAACTGAAGGCGTACCCACCTGTAAGATGCCAGTGGTATTTCTCGCAAAAAGCATTCTCCTGTTTACTTAAAAAAGTGTCGGGAAACAGGTAAAGTATTTTTAATTGACTTTGCGGGAGATTTTGCTAAGGTATATTACTTATATAAAAGAGATAATTTTATATGGCGTTTGTAACAACATTGTAAGTTCTAGGTCACAATTTTAAACTTAAAACCCAATAATAATTTGTTTGGTGAAGCTAATTGCTAATTGGCTTAAGGGACAGATGATCAATTTCTAATTGGCTTTCAAAGGAGTTGGGCATTGCTGATGTCACCTCCCATTATCTCCTGACTGGTTCCCTAAATTGTCAATTATTCATAGGCCCTTTCTTAAAATTTGTTCACTCTGCTGGCTAGGTCAGCATTCATTGCCCATTCCTAACTCTTCTGAGTTAACTATATTTCTGAGAGTCTGGAGTCACATGTAGGCCAGACCAACTAAGAATGGCAGAATTCCTTCCCTAAACTACATTAGTGAACCAGGTGGCTTTTTCCATAACAATTGGCAATTAGGCAAGCTGTCTATTGAATTAAAATTACAAGATCTTTCATGGTAGGATTCAAACTCACGTTCCCGAGAACATTGACATGGAATTCTAGATCACTAGTCCAATGAAATTACTGCTATACCACCATCTCCCTGCACGACAGTCTATTCATTGTATCCTTATAAGTTTATTGATAAATTGAAATGTAACTTACACTTCTTTTAGAAAAAATATGTGCATATGCACTCAGGATCGATAATTGATATTCCTGAACTTGGGTCACATTTCTTGCCTACTTAGTGAAGTCCCCATTAAATAATTTACTGAGCTCAAGTTTTTTTTTGTCTCTGTGTTGTTTGAACGCCTGAAAGACTTTCTTAGTACAGTACTTTTGACAATAATAGAAAATGTAGTGTAACAAGTTGCTCATATCTTCAACTATATAGAACTATTAGAGAAGATCACAAAGCACCAGTCTAAACAAATTGTTGTACAAGGCATGTAAAAAAAGGATGAAGTAGTGAAATATACTTCCCTGCATAGCCAAGTGGTGAAAGTCTAAAGGCTATACAATTACGAAACTTAAATACACTGCGTCAAAGTTACTCTAACACTACGCTTTACTTCTAAAAGAAATTGAAACAACACCAGTACAAGGGCCTAGTTGTGAAAAAGCATTCTTCAAAAGGTCTAACAAACTGGGAGGATACCATCTCTGCCTCATTCAATCTTGGAATGGATATTAAATAGAAATAAGCTGAACAGATCACCTCACCTTGTAGCTGTAATTCTAAGACATTAAGGTATTGCCTTCACTCTGTTTGCAATCCTATGGTGCATTTCTTTGTTAAGTAAAGCTAAGCAGTGACATGGTAGTTAAATACTAAAATCTACATTGGATACACACAGGCAGATTATAGAGTCATAGAGTCGTACAACACAGAAACAAGCCGTTCAGCCTACCATGTCTGTGCTGACCAAAGACCAAATTACACTGATCCCACTTACCTGCACTTGGTCCTTTGCCTACTATGCCTTGGCAATTTTGTGTGTTCATCCAAATGCTTTTTAAATGTTGTGAGTGTGCCTGCCTCCACCATCCTCACAGGCAACACTTTCCATATTTCTACCACCCTCTGGGTGAAAAACATTTTTCTCAGATCACCCATTTTTCTCAGATCATCTCTAAGCCACCTACTCCTCACCTTAAACTCATGCCCTCTGGTCTTAGACATGTCTGCCATGGGGAAAAGATTCTCATGGTCTACTGTGTCTATGTCTGTCTTAATTTTGTATACTTCAATCAGATCCACCCTCATCCTTCTCTGTTCCAAGGTAAACAAACCCAGCCTATGCAATCTCTCCTCATAACTGAGGCGTTTCATCCCAAGCAACATCCTGGTGAATCTCCTCTGCACTGTCTCCAGTGAAATCATGACCTTCTGATAGTGTGGCAACCAGAACTGCATACAGTATTTCATCTGTGGCCTAACCAATGTTTTATAAAGTTGTAACAAGACTTCCTTGGTCCTGTATTCTACACCTTGGCTGATGAAGGAAAAAATCCCACACACCTTCTTCATTACCCTGTCTATCTGTGCTGATGCCTTTAGGGATTTATGGACTCGTACACCAATGTCCTTTTGTTCCTCAGTACTGAGGAACAATCGTTGCACCTACGATTCAATGTGTAATGGACCTTCCAAAATGCATTACCTCGCACTTATCAGAATTAGATTTTGTCTGTCATTGCTGTGCCCAATTTATCAGCTTGTCAATATCTGACTGCAGCTTGAGACCATCCTCTTCACTATCAACAACATTACCAATTCTGTCATCGGCAAACTTGCTCATTATACCTCCTTCATTCATATTCAAGTCATTAATGCACATAACAAACAGCAAGGATCCCAACATCGATTCTTGTGGCACACTGCTGTTCGCAGGCTTTGAATCACAAAAACATCCCCCCACCATCACCTTTTCCCTCCTGTTTGTAAGCCAATTTTGGACCTAGTTTGCTAACTTGCCTTGGATCCCATGGACTCTTACCTTTCGGACCAGTCTCCCATGTGGGACTTTGTCAAAGGCCTTATTGAAGTCCATGTAAACCACATCAATTGCATTACTCTCATCAATTTATTTAGTTAACTTTTCAAAAACCTCAAATTTGTCAGACAGAGTCTCCCGTTACCAACTCCATGCTGACTATTCGTGATAAATCCCTGCTTTTCCAAGTGTTAATTAACCCCATCCCTCAGGTTTTTTTCCCAACAATTTCCCTACCACTGATGTCAGACTACCTGGTCTATAATTACCTGGCCGATCCCTGCTGCCTTTCTTGAACAAAGGAACCACATTAGCTTTCCTCCAATTATTTAGCACTTCAGCTGTGGCCAGTGAAGTTTTAAGTATATCTGCCAGGGTCCCAACAATCTCCTCCCTTGCCTCCCATAGCAGCCTGAAATGCTGTATATCTCATCATGCCCTGGGGATTTATGCACCTTTATCCACACTAAAACTTCTAATATCTGCTCCTTCTTAATCTCAACATTTTCTAGAACCTCACCATCCCAACTGAAATCTCCAACTACCATGTCTGTCTCCTCTGTGAATACAAATGAGAAGTATTTATTTAAGACCTCATCCATGTCCTCAGGCTCCATGCCCAGGTTGCCCCTTCAGTCTGTAATAGGGTCCACACTTTTCCTGGTAATCCTCTTACTATTAACGTTCCTATAAAAAGCCTTAGAATTTTCCTTGATCCTATCTCTGAAGCTATTTCATGGGCCCTCTTTGCTCCCTAATTTATTTTTTGAGCAACCCTGTATATTCTCTATGCTGTGGAAGGGCCGCCCATGTTTTAATACACTGTACCTGATATATGCTTTCTTCTTTTTCTTTATGAAACCCACAATATCCCTTGACATCCAGTTCCCTGGACTTGCTGCCCTTGTCCTGCACTCTTAGAGGAACACACTAGCCCTGAATTCTCATTGTATTATTTGTTAAATTTTCACGGATTAATGAAGGAATATACGTCGATTATAACTAAACCAAGTCAATATAGCTTCCTGTTGTCGACTCCACAATTTTAATTTTCAAAGTAAGTTCTTCGAGGTGACCTGTAACTGAGGCTATTAGAGCCCCAACTATTACTTACAATGGGCATCAACAGTTTTCAATGACAAGTACTTGCTTCACATCAACCCAGTATTTAGAACTAACAGCCTGAAAGGGTGGAGGAGGTGAAACCATCCACAATATTTAACAAATATTTAGATGAACAGTTAAAATGCTACAGCATGCCAGGCTTTGGGCCAAGTGCTGGAAAATAAGATGAGAGTAGATAAATGCTTAATGACCTGTACTGACATGATCAGCCAAAGAACTTCCTTCTATGCTGTAAAACTCTATGACTCAGAACTCATGAAACAGTAAGAAAAATGCCTCACTCACAAAGGTTGCTTAGAGCAAGACTTGAATACATTTCCTTAGAAACACGAATACCATTCAGCGAAAGGCTCAATCCTCTTCATACTTTGTAATTGCCACATTTGAAATCAAGAAAATTAAAATAGAGTGCAGCTGACTCCCACCTGCACACACACACACACCATTAAAATGAAATATAATTTAGTCCAAGAAAGCATGTAACTGTTTTGAAGTTTAATACTTTAAATATCATTTGTCTAGTTCCTGAGGTCACCTCGAGCCAGCAGCACATTCCAAACAGAAGAACATAAGAAATAAGAACAAGAAGTGTCTCTGAACATCAATATTTCATACTTTTGAAAAAGATATTCAACTGATATCAGATATTTGGAACAAAAACCAGAAGTTGCTGGAAAAGCTCAGCAGGTCTGGCAGCATCTGTGAAGAAAAGTCAGAGTTAATGCTTTGGGTTTTGTGATCCTTCCTCAGAACTGATGGTAGCTAGGAAAATGTCAGTTTACATCTTAGCTACCATTTTCCAACTACAATCAGTTCTGAGGAAGGGTCACCAGACCCGAAACATTAACTCTGACTTTTCTTTACAGATGCTACCAGACCTGTTGAGCTTTTTCCAGCAATTTCTGTTTTTGTTACTGATTTACAGCATCCACAGTTCTTTTGATATCAGAGATCTGTTTTCTTTACATTTTTTGTTGCTCTTGTTTAGATTTATTCGCTGAATGAGTCATTTAGTATAACAGTAGTATCAAGAATTATTAACTGAATATTTGAATCTGAATTTGAACTATATGTAGTCATCTATATCTAGAATTTGTCAGCAATCATTTATGGGATTGATAAAATTTAACCGAAATTCCCAGTTAATGTTAGTATCTAATTAAAAAAATCTAGCAATCATGTCAGAATTTTTCTCAAAAACATTTCACAAATTGACTTTATGAAAAACATTTTATTGTTTATGGCCATAGAAAGATTTAGGTATTTTAAATGGTATTTCCCTGAGTTCAACACATTTACATTATTTGTTATATTTATTTATTTTGTTGTACCATACCCAATGGAGTACAAAGTGCTGTTAACTTTACTCCACAAAGGCAGTACATCTTTTACAAAAAAACTAATAAGTATTTCTTTCAGGAAAGATATTCTTGTTGGCGTTTTGAAGTTCTAGGTACTTAAAAGAGAAAATGTTTTATTTCTCAGAGTGACATGTTAGGCAGGGATATTAAAAGTAATGGAACCAAGATATGTATGAGGAGTTAAGATGCAGCACTACCAAACAGGAACAGGCTTAAGGGACTGAATGGCCTACCATCATTCCAAGGTTCCTATGATAAAACTTGATTTCCCTTGAAGAGAAAATGTTCATTTTATTTTTAAGATACATAAAGAAATAACTCTGCCATCAATTTTGGCATAATTATACACTTACTCCCAAAGGAAGATCATATAAGTGTAAATATATATGCAGTTCACATTTACACAAATTCACTGGAAATAGCTAATATTTATCTTCGTGCAGATAACGCAGGTTAAACTACAATTATGGTGCTGAAATGTCCACTTAAATATTCTCAACAATTATCTTTACTAAACACTTTACTTACCACTTAATATGTATAAAATATCAAAGGACTTTAACTGCAAATACCTAGTGGAAAGTGGGCAGGTCAGAAATTAAATACCCACCTTGTTACCCCTTCCTGATTCCTTTTGATTTCAATGTTAAAAGATACATCCTGACAGACACCAAAGCTGCTTATCCAATGTCAGCAGAGTCTGAATTCATATACCCTAATCTGGATCCAAAAATTGTACTGGGCCCTGACTCAGATTTTAACTTTTAACTGAGTGAGAAAGGCAATATTGGTTTCTTGCCATATAAAGACCAGAATGAAAAGGAGAAGGTAAGTTGTTTAACTTTCTGTTTTAGGGCCAAAGGAACTTTTTCAAGCCCCACAATATAATTTATAACTACAGTGTCTTAGATTCCCCCTCATATTCCTATTCTGGAAAGTCATGCGCTGCACTTGGAACTCAAGACTTAGAAGCAGGAAAAGTCCATTCAGCCCTTCAGTGATCCTTTGTGGATCAAAGATCAATTCTAACCCTGCCATGAACAAAGTTTGGTGACCCAGCTACCACTGTAGTTTAGAGAAGAAAATTCCACAGACCAACAACCCTCTGAGAGAAAAGAAATTCTTCATCTCAGTCTTAAAATGGATACCTCTTCATAAATTGTGCCTCCTACTTTTAGTCACCTTCACAAGAAAAAGAATCCTCCTGATGTCCACCCTATCTAGTTCCCTCTTATATGTCTCGATAATATCATCTCTCATATTTTTGAACACCAAAGGGTACATGCCCAGAATGTTCACTCTTTGTTCATCAGATAAGCGCCTCATCCCAGGAATGAGCTGAGTGAACTATCTCTGAACTACTCACCTGAACGCTGTTAGTCGATTAATTTTTCTGGATACCAGCAGCTGCCTGCAGGGTAAATGGACCAGTGGCATGTTGATGAGATCCATTGTTTAAAAATACTACAATCTCATAATTACTGCAGGAAGATGAATTACTGACAGCAATTTACTAGCTGTTAATAATATCCCGAAGCTCTCAGAAGTTAGTTACTGCTATTATTAATCTCTAGTATCTATTAATGTAAAGAGAAATACATAAAAACAACAAAAAGAAGTGACTAATTTAAAGGTGCACTCTTTAATAAACTAGCAACAGAGGCATTGTCATGATGCAGAACAGGAGATATACTGAACTAAGGTATTCCAGAATGCAGGCTGATGTCAGCTTTTCAGAATACTAAATTACATCAGAGAATGGCATAGTGTGGAGATCATATTGCTTCATTAGAGTGAGTGAGTCACCCCAACCCATTGCCTTTAGTTACCTGGAGGCATTAACAGAAACCTAATAGCAATATCAGTTATTTATCTTCTCATGGAATACAACATGTGTTGTCTTAGGACAAAAGGAGAGAAGATAGTAATGGATGAAATTTAGGGATGATTTTAGGACCGGTATGAGTGATGCAGAAGAAAGCACACTCCTAAAATATTTCTTATGAGATCAATGAAGCTCACACACCAATTTCCATTTACGAATTACACTCAGTGCGTTAATAAATTTAACATTTGTTTTCATGTAGAGTTTTCATCCTTATATATGCTTTTTGTTTATTGTGTAATATTCTAATTCTCATTCTTTTTACTGCTTCCTAGTTATTCTGCGTCATTTTGTGATCATGGTCATAAACCAGGAATCTATGAATTTTTTGCAGAAAATGAGGAAGCAGAATTTCAGACATTTTTTACTTTATATGTAAAAAGTAAGTAATAATTACTGAATTAGCACATTAATTTTGATATTAATGTTCAAGGTATGCATTTAATTTAAATTTATTTTCTAATTTAAGAAGAAAGATGTTATAGGTAATTTTTGTATCTTCTTGAAGGTGATGCACTATGGAATTAGAATGCGAAAGGTCTAAAGGAAAATGAACTCTTGAATACAAAACATGAAATTTGATCCAATAAAACTCTTACATTTTCCTTAATGCAGAATTTTTATTCAAAGTTTATACCTAAGAAATTGCCAGGTCTTTGGTAATTGACAGTGTGGAGGCATTGAATTTTTTAATGACTTTATTCTCTCCTTTTAGATGTGTTGACCTTTGCTGAACTATTGCTCTCTCGTAAATCCACCTATAATGAGCTATAATCTACAAAGAACTGACATCTCTCTCTGTTCACTGCTTTTATGCATGCCCCTATCATTCATCCTTCCATCCAATCCCTGAAGTTGTCCACACATCTAGTCCTTTTCCAACTTGGCCTTTTCTTTCCTGACATTTCACCTTCTATTTTTACCAGCCTAAGACTTTCATCCCATCTTTTCCAGTGGTTGCATTTTCTCAGTTTCGGCTTCTTCACCAGCTTAAAATCCATGAGATGCTGGGACTTTGAATTTGTCAAGGACATATTGATGGTTCTTTGCTCTGTCCAGTTAATTCTAAGGACCCTACATTGAAAACAGTAGAAGCAAATTACAGCAGATGCTGGCATCTGTACTGAAAACAAAAAACGCTGGAGATCTCAGTGGGTCAGGCAGCATGCATGGAGAGTAAGCAAGCTAATGTTTCAAATCTGGATGACTCTTCATCAGAGTTGATGTGAAGCTTCACGTCAGCTCTGATGAAGAATCATCTAGACTTGAAATATTAGCATTGAAAACAGTACCCTGGTCAAATGGTCATTTTAGAAGTGTGTGTGAACATTTATTCTGGCATGGAGGACATCACAGATGAGATGTCCTTATTCAATTTTAGGAAACATGAACTGTCCAACTAGAGTCCCTGGGTATCAATTAGGGGTGAAAACATATTTGTTTTGCTGTTGTTCATCTGACCAATACTATCTCCGAGCATTTTGAGGATTATCTATATGGTTTAGTGCACCACAGTGCCATTAACTGCCAGACTAGACTTTGTGAAATATTGAGGCAAAAGATTGCAGATGCTGGAAATATTACATAAAACCAGAAAATGCTGAAAACACTCAACATTTATGGTGTGGGAAAAGGAGTTAATGCCAGAAATATTAGCTGTATTTCTGTTGCCACAGATATTGCCAGAAATATTGAGTATTTTCAATAGTTTCTATTTCTATGTGAGAAGTATTTATCCTGAACTGAAGAAAATAATTACTTTCTTTTGAAAAAATAACCTTTTTAATTCCATCAGTTGAAGTATTTAAAGTACAGGAATTATAATGTTAAGGCTTTAGGCAGAAAAGCTTAGAAATTCCACCACAAAAGCAAAATAGTGTAGACGCTGGGAATCTGAAATAAGAACAGGAATAGGCTAAAAAGTCTCAACAGCTTCAGGCAGCAAGTATGGAGAAAAAGAGAATTTGAGCTTTCTTCAGAAGCAAAGAGAATTAGAAATGTTAGAGTTTAAGACAGTAAACGATGGGAAGGGACTTGAACAGCAATGAGTGGTAATGGATTTAGTGAAGAACCAATGATTGTGTCCAAGCAAGGCATGAATTAATATTTTGCCACGTGAAGGCAATTTGAAGGAAGGTAAGATTCAAGCAAGATAAGAATCAATCCAACAAAACATGGGAAAGGAAAAATTGTAAGAAACAAAAGCACATAGAACAAGATGGAGGCAGAGGTTATGATCTAAAGTTGTTGAACTTGAGGTTCAATCCAGAAGGCTGCAGCACGCTGAGTTGAAAGATTAATGCTATCATTCTATAAAATTCTGTCTCGAGCTTGCATTGAACCCCACTGGAGCACTGTGACAGAAGGGTCAGCGTGGGAGTAAGGTGAAAATTAAAATGGCATGAATAATTGCAGGAAGAATAGGGTGCTGTGCAAAGTAGTCATCCAGACTGCAATTAGTCTCCACTGTGTAGAGAAGACCACATCAAGAGCGAGAAGTACAGTATGCTAAATTAAAAGACAGACCAGGAAATCATTGTTTTCACTTAGAAAAAGTATTTGGAGCCATGGACAGTCAGTAGGGAGGAGGTTAAAAAGGCTAGTATTGTATCTCCTGGCTTACATGGAAAGCGAAGCAAAAGATATTTGAAGTGACTGAGATGAGGACTAGAATATTGCAGCAGGAATGGTCCCTATGGAATGCTGAAAGAGGAAGGCAGGGGAAGATATGTTTTGTGGTTGTATTACAATGGAGCTGGCAAAAGGAGCAGAGGGTGGTCTATTGAATATGGAGGCTGCTAGGTAAAATGTGAGAATACAGCATCAACTAGGGGACAGTTCTTTGACTGTCACCTTCACTATTGCTCAAATCGAGCCTGGTATACACAAGAGCATTCAGTCCCACAACCAACTCCAGTAGAGTTCAAACTGGCTTTTTAAAATGTCCTTTGTGCATTATTCAAAGTGGAAAACACAAACTGTCTCTGCAGTTTGGAACATAATCCACGGGGGTGGTTTGCTGCTGAGCAGGGAGTTGTCAACCCTCAATATCTTTGTAATCATAAGAGTTCACAATCTAATAAGTTTCAAGTTTCTTTGACATCCCATCGGTCTCACAAAGATTATTTTACACCTGCAGCTATTGTCTCTGTGGCAGTCCTCGTTTAAAAAAGTATATACTTTGGAATTACAAACTAAAATGCCATAGTATTTTGAGGTTCCAATCCATTGTTGTAACAATACGATACATGTATGATGAAATCATATCCAGAATCAACTAGTAAAAATATGTGGAACATCAATTATATCCATGGAATTAAGTTTTGTTTCATTATCATAACAGTTTAGCTCAATCTGATAACCTCTTTGTAGGGCCTCAAACAGGACTATCTACTAAATTTGTAAACTGTATTTTCTGCAGAGAAACCATCTCTAGAACTTTCATCAGGAAAAGATAATATTTTCTGCAACTCCACAAGCTATCCATTAGCCACAGTGAGTTGGAAAAAGTGCAATGAAAAATCGTAAGTAAAAGAAACAAGATGCCACTTTCAAAGCTCAGTAACATTGTTTTTTCTTCCCCCTATTGATTGTGAACAGAATTATTTTTGGATCTATTTATTCTATCTTCACTGTTCACAGTAATTGCACATATATCTGACTTTAACAGTCATAATCGTGGATTCTGGGAGCACTAATGTGGGCACAGCTTTAAGTTTGTTCCCATGGTATAAATTAGATATATATATTAATGAAACAGTCCAAATGGTATGGGGTAGAAATTTTTAAATCAAGAGATGTCCAGAGATGTTATTACACACTTCTGGAGTAGATGGGATTTGAATCCAGGTTACTGGCTCAGAGTTAAAGACACTGTTAGTACACTATAAGCACCACTTGGGGTGGGGTAAATATAGATAAAATTGAAAGTGTGTACACAATGCAGGACAGTAGATAATGGTTCATTTCAACCCCACCCCTAGCTTTTTGGAACGAAATAACTCATTTTCAATTGTGCTAATAAAACTACACCAGGCTTCTTTTCTGAAATGTATTAAGGAATACAGCTTTAAAAAACAGAAGCAAACAAAACAATTCTGTCTATTATGTTGTATAATTGTGTTGGTTCATGGAGGATCTTAGATTTGTGATTCTGCAACTGAGTTTTTAGTAGGAACTGAATTGGCAATTTCTAACATTTTTAGCGCAGTTTTTGTGCAATGTAGAAGCTAATAATTTTCTAAAAGATGCATAGTGTCTGATCGAAAACAGTGACATAATTCTGTGTTTTAAGCACAATTTGGAAGAAGATTCTGTAATTTTTCTGAAGATTTTTATAATCATGAAAAGCCTTTCAATATAATTGCCCAGTTTCTAACCTAGGGCTTACCAAACTTTTTCCCTCTGAATTTTGGATCTTGAAGGTTGTATACCCTTTGGTGAGACCTGTGGGATTGGGTGGTTGGCCCAGGGGAGAGCAGAACTCGGTAGTGGTTATTGCTGACTCACAGCTCGAAACCCCCAAATTTCAGCTTGTCACCCTACCTGGGGACTCAACTCTTACTTTAGGAAGTCCTGTTTTAATTATTATTACAAATATTACAAATTATTACACATGCACCCAGGTACTTCAGCAGTGCCTTTTTTCTAATACCAGCTGATTTTATCTACCTTCTCAAACTTTAAACTAAATGGTGCAGCAAACAAAATAAAAAATGAGAGTTTCCAAGAATAAGCACTTGACTGAATGACTTCTGACACATAAAATTAAACAATGGGTGAAGCTGATACATGTAGGTTTAGCCATACAGATTTTTAATGTGACCTTTTCTTGTTGTTGCATTCAAGCTGCGCTGGAAGTGAAAATATAACTGAGGGCATTCAGACCGAGGTGTCAGATGGAAAAACGTTTGGTTCCAAAAGTATACTGAGTGTAATGGATGCAACGGTCATGACGGGTGGGTTTTCAGTAGAGTGCTGTGCAGAGAATGCTGTAGGCTCAATCTGCAAAAGAAGCTATCTTCCAGAGCAAGGTAATGTCAAGGTTGTATAATTCTTGAAATTATATTATTGCTAACATACTGATCGAATTATGCTGCAGCAGTTGCACAATATTGTACTGTACTGTCTTGTTTTAATACATAAATAAATTGAATACATAAATGATGTATTTAGAGGGCTGCAGAGATAGGGCTGGGGAATGGGATTAGCTGGGTAACTCTTTCAGGAGATGGTACAGACACGATGTGTTGAATGGCCTTCTTCAGTACTGTAAAATTCTACGGTTCTATTATCCTGTATATATCCTTTTTTCCAGATAAAATGCAGTTTTCAAAGACTATTTTCTACATGACAATTGGAATTTTTGGTCTGGTTACAATCCTGTTTTTCGCTTTCATATTCCCTAAATGTCAAAAGGTAAATAAGCATCTTTGCATATGAATAATGTATATCTAAATGTAATATTTTATGTACACAATATGACCAAGCCAAAAAAATTTGTCAATTCTGCCACTGATATTTTGTCTGCCTGCACTCTGAAATGCTTACTCAGATCACAGACAAACAATTTAAATCTATTTGACTGACAATTTAGAGATTTGTCAAAGATACGCAGGGTGGGTTTCAAACATTAATCAGTTTGTCTATACTGATACATAAAATATGAAAAGGAAGTAAGTTTTAAAACAACTGTTTGCATCTACTTTTGGAAAGTAACTTTTTTTTTAGTGATATGCACCTATATAACTTTCAGAGAATAATTTACTGTAATGTTTTCTTTGTATTTCTTACTTTTTTCTTTTTCAGCATATCTTTAACATTGACCACACCTAGTGATCTTTGATATTTCACTTGGCTGTCATAAAAGCAAGAGTGTTTGTAACTACGTAAAGTACTGAGTGAGAATAGATTTGGAGGTGATATGTAGACTTGCATGTTTCACAGTCTGTCCTTGTAGAAGATGTTTCATGTGAAGGCACAAAGGGATATTTTTAGCTTTGCTGGTGTAAAATATTCACTCAGCTGCCTGATTTCATTCCCCTGATTTCAATTGATTTAATGGGAATAAAAATGGGATGAAGTGAATAACATGCGGCCAATTTAATATTGGGAAACACGGGAGAAATAGGAGTAAACCATTCAGCCCATTGAGCCTGCCTTACCATTCTAGATCATGGCTATTCATCTTCACAGTGACATTTCCCTGCATTATCCCCATATCCACTAGTGTCATTAATCGACAGAAATCTATTGATTTTTTAATTGAATGTGCTCAATGATTGAGCTTCTACAATCCTCTGGGATGGGTAGAATTCCAAACATTCAACAGTCTCTGAGTGAAGAAATTCCTACTCTTCTCAGTTGTAAAGTGTATAACCCTAATTCTGAGATAATGTCCCCTAGTTCTAGACTCACTGGACAGAGTAAACATCTTAACTATATCCACCCTTTCACACCCTGTAAGAATTTTGTAATTTTCATTAAGATCATCACTCATTCTTCAAACGTCCAGAAAATAAAGGCAGTTTCCCCAATCTGTACTCATAGGATCCATCTGCTTTCCCAGTGATTTGCCTAGTGAACCTTCATTGCTCTCGGTCTGTGGGAAGTGTATGCTTCTGAAGAAAAGGAGATCACAACTGTACACAATTCTGCCAGTGGAGTCTGAGGCTCTATACAGTTTAGAAAGACATCTTTACTCCTCTTTGCAATGAAGGACTATACCATTTGCTTTGGTTATTGATTGTTGCACCTAAATGCTAACTTTGAGTGAGTCATGAACAAGGAAACATAGGTCCCATTGGTCATCAACTCTTCCTAAATTCTCACCATTTAAAAAATGCCTTGTCTTTCTGTCTCACAGTGGATTACACCATACTTGTTCCAATTATATTATATCTGCCATGTTCTTGCCCATTCACTTAGCCCGACCACTTCGCAAAGGTTTATGGGTGAATTTCTTGCCAAAGATTAAGACCTTTAAATGGTCAATTAATTACCACATAATGGTCGCAGCTCACCACCTCCTTGATCACCTACCTTCCCAGTAGTTGGGAAAGGTGGCTGATTTCCCAACTGGGAACACTAGTCTGTTGGATTGGAATGGCCCTCCAATTACCCAATTCTGTGTGAAATTAGGGACTCAGATGGTGGTCAATGGAGAAGCCTCTGAATATCCCCCCATTCCCTTCTCTCTACAAGGCCTACCCCACAAGAAGAAACAAAATTTACCTTCTTGCCACTGGATCCCCCAAGGAATGGGCCTCACCTGGTGGACTTTGGGACTCAGAAGTTGCTGACTTCTGACTGGCCGGCATTTTTGCCAACCCAAGTCACCAGTGTTGAGGCCTGCATCAGGGTGACACACGCACCTTTGCTCATTATCAGCTCTTAATGTGGTGATCTGGTGACTTATTTCATCAACAGTGTTGGCATATTAGTCAACAGTTATCCCTCACACTTAGACAAAATGTGGAAAATTCCCCCAACACTCTAGGATGCAGCTCATCGGGTCCAAGGTAGTTCTCAAGCTTCAATCCAGTTAAGTTTTCAATTACTACCATTTACTAACTTCTTTAAGTTCCTCAGTCTCACAAGTCCCTTGGTTACCTAGTATGTCTAGAAGATTTTCTGTACCTTCCTCCATAAGGACAGTAACCAAAAATTGACTAATTATCAAATTTGGGGAGTTTCATGGATGTTCTCCATGATCTGTAAGTGAGTCATCTCATGCAGTTCTCTGTGTTGCACTCGTGCCATAGTGCACTCGGCAGTGGCAAACGTTGATACATTGAAGTCCATTCTTCCACCAGGGCCATTGTCAGGCAGATGATAGGCCTCCTAAGTGGTGAGCTGAATCTTCCAGATGCCTGCTTTGACTTTCATTTTGGGAATTGTCACTAGTTTCTATCCATTGCCTGGGAAAATAATAAACTGCATAAAAATGGGATGAGGTTATGTAACACCTATAGGCCCCTTGCTGCTCACCAGAAGAAGTATCCATATACTTTTAAAGAATCCTGAAAATTAGTTGAAGACCGAGAGATAGTAGGAATTGCAGATGCTGGAGAATCTGAGACAACCAGTTGCAGGGCAGGATGAACACAGCAGGCCAAGCAGCATCATAGGAGCAGAAAGGCTGATGTTTCGGGCCTAGACCCTTCATCAGAAAAGGAGGGAGGAGGGTAACTTCTTCAGGCTAGGCATCCTTAGAAGAGGCTTCGCAGTGGGGTTAAAATTGAATCAGAGATAGTAGGAACTGCAGATGCTGGAGAATCCGAGACAACAAGGTGCAGGGCTGGATGAACACAGCAGGCCAAGCAGCATCGTAGGAGCAGAAAGGCTGATGTTTTGGGCCTAGACCCTTCATCAGAAAAGGAGGAGGGGAAGGGTGTTCTGAAATAAATAGGGAGAGAGTGGGAGGCGGATAGAAGATGGATAGAGGAGAGGAAACAAACAGGTTGAAGAGGCGGGGATGGAGCCAGTAAAGGTGAGTGTAAGTGGGGAGTTAGGGAGGGGATAGGTCAGTCCAGGGAGGACGGACAGGTCAAGGGGGCAGGATGAGGTTAGTCGGTAGGAGATGGGGGTGCGGCTTGAGGTGGGAGGAGGGGATAGGTGGGAGGAAGAACAGGTTAGGGAGGCGGGGACGAGCTGGACTGGTTTTGGGATGCGGTAGGGGGAGGGGAGATTTTGAAGCTTGTGAAATCCACATTGATACCATTGGGCTGCAGGGTTCCCAAGCGGAATATGAGTTGCTGTTCCTGCCTGACTTGTGCTTTCGAGATGGCTGACAGGCATTGAGGTAACTGCTGAGTTACTTGTCACAGAATTCCTAGCCTCTGACCTCCTCTTGTAGACAGATCACTTACATGACTGCTCCAACTTAGCTTCTGGTTGATGGAAATCACCTCCATTCCATTCTACAGCCAGGCTCCCAACCCACATCCCAATGTCACCTGCCGCACCCCTCACCAGGATGTTGGTAGTAGAGGATTTAGTGATGGTAATGCTATTGAATGTAAAGGGGGAATGGTTAGATTCTCTCTTGATGAAGTACTTGGCACTTCATGGTTTGCATTCTTACTCGCCATTTATTCCATATGCCATGGCTTCCATGACTTTTCCAAACGCACCAGAGCCAAGTACCTTAATTGTTTTTGTATTCATTATGAGTCTCCCTCTATATATTTATATCCCAGAGCATGCTTAATGTTAACTGGGAAATGTCAATTATTTAATATTGATAGCATTGGGTCTTTTGGTCACTAACCAACTTTCCACCCAAAATGAAAGGGATGTGGCAAAAGATGGTGGTCCAAAAACAATCCACCAACTGAGGCTGAGGGGAGACTTGATAGAAGTCTATAAAATTATGAGAGGCATAGATACGGTTGATGGTCAGAATCTTCTTCCCAGAGTTGAAATGTCTAATATTAGGGGACATACCTTTAAGGTTAGAGGGGAAAAGTTCAGAGGAGATGTGAGGGGCAAGCTTTTTACACACACAGCATGGTAGGAGCCTGGAATGCACTGCTAGGGGTGGTGGTCGAGGTAGATACGATAAGGGCATTTATGGGAGTTTTAGATAAGCACATAAATAGGAAGGAGGAATGGACCATGCGAAGTTAGAAGGGATTAGTTTCATTTGGCATCATGTTTGGCACAACATCATGGGCCAAAGGGCCCGTTCTTGTGCTGTACTGTTCTATGCTCTATGTTCAATGTTCTAACCTGTGGCAAATGTGATAACGGTGGATTACAGGACGCCCCGTAGTTTTTGAAGAATTTAGTTGACGTTGAGTTTGGGGAAGTTCCATATCTTCTTTGTGGTGTTTCTCTGGACCAAATTATTTTTACCTGATAGGGTAATTTATACTATGGAGATTGCATTGAGTTTGTACAATAGTCCTATTGACACAATGTGACCCTAATATCCCAAAGTGTATCTGGCACTCCCTTGACTCTGGCAAGTACTTCATCTGCCTAAAAAAAATCATTCGTATCAACAAGCATGAGCAGAACAGAAAACTCATGTGATCAATTTTACGCCAATTTCAAGTCTTCATGCTAATGGAAATAATTTCTCAATATTTGCCTTGTCAATTCCTAACATCATTTTGAACACTTCTAATAAATCATTATTCAGTCTCTATACAATAGAACACAGCTCTATTCTGACAGTCATATCTTCTGATTTCTGTCAGCTTTTTCCTTGCAGCATTCAACATCACATTTTTCTCCAGAATTATAGCATTGTAGGAGCAATAAAGAATTCAAAACTAAGCACAGCATTCATGATGTGGCTCTATCTTCGACTGTCAACATTCATGATTGATTTTACAATTCTGATAAATGATGTACATTCCCATGATCAAAATCTTATAACATCAAATGGGCTCAATTTTACAACTTAGTCTTCCTAGGTGAAAGTTTCCAGTCATAAGGTTTCTGTTAGTATCACTTTATAACCAGCCAACAGAAATGTTTGAAGGTATTTCATCTTCCTCACCTTTCTCTCTGCAAGTATCTGACTTCAGCACAGCACATCACCTGAGAGCACAGCAAAACAAGTGATCTCAGAGAGATACTGCATGCAACCCCAAAATTGTGCTATGATCGTGTGCACAGATTTATTTGTTGATACTTAAGGTCTCATGAAGTGCCTTTGAATAGCTTGTCTGTTTTGTAGCAAAAGAATACCACTAACTTAAGTGTGTTACCGGATCTCAATTGACACTTTATGGCCCCTACACCAGCAAATTTCCAGATGTGTTACTGGAGAGTGCAAATAAATTGCTTCATATTAAAAAAAGGGGAACCAGCAGGACAGTCAATACTTCTTTGCTTTCATATACTTGGATGTATCTGGTTTACGACTCCAACAGTAGATAACACTTTAGCCGTTCCATTCTTTGCACACTGTTGCTGCATGAGATACCTTAATCAAGAAAGGACAAGGAAGTAGAGAGAAGTGGTATCCTAAAATAGATTAACATTCCTTCCAGGTCATGCTGTTTGTAAAATGACTAAGGGTTTAGCTAGATGCTGTGACCCCAGTAGTGTCATGATTTCCCAATTGTGTTGAGAGTTCTATAATTTTACAACACAGCTTTTATAATATGATGCATCATGGTTCTTGGTATATCAGAAGTTTTCACATTGATTAATGTAAAATCTCATTCTGATCTTCATTTAAGCAACCTGGTTATGAACAGCAGCTCCTCATGATACAAGTTATTGGATCCTCTGAGAATGATTATGTTTATGTTGATTTTACCCACACTGATTATGATCCAAAGTGGGAATTTCCTCGCGAAAACTTGGAACTGGGTAGGCCATCTTTCTAATGCCTAATACAAAGTCACTATTTCCACTCAAATAGCATAAATGAACCTAAGGTGACAAAATAAGACAGGCTACACAGCTCCAGTGTAATTTTTTTATATCCAATGCACTTAAAGTAACACAATTCATTTTGTGACATTTTATTGCAAGTGTAGATAAAAAAGAAACAACTTTCAAAATCTTAATTATTTGAAAACACTGACATTATCATGTGACAGTTCAGTGCTTCTCTTGCAACCAAAATAATGAAACATAATTAATTACCAAGGACTATTTAATTGGCTGTGCAGATTCAACAAATACATAGGTTTGAGTGATTAGATCTGATTTTGATCATTCTTAATATGAAAATGGTTTCTAAGGAAAATAAAATCAATGAATTATTTCAATAATTCACAAATACATTTTGTTCCTTGAAAATGTATTTATTTACCTTTTAAAAGTAGAGCCAGTATCATTGAATAAAAAACACAAATTGCTAGAAATATAGAAATAGGATAACTTTATCTATAAAGAAAAAGGGTCAGTCATGTATATGTAACCAGCACTCAAGCATAAAATCCCAATTTATTTTATTTCTTCCTTTTTAATCTGAAACTAGATAAAATCCTTTATATGACAATACATACTTACTGCAGAGAAATTTAGTATTATTCTTAGTTAATCGTTTGTGACCTGCAGGGAATGTACTTGGCTCTGGTGCGTTTGGAAAAGTCATGGAAGCCATGGCATATGGAATCAATAAAGCAGATGTCCCTGTCCAGGTGGCTGTGAAGATGTTGAAGGGTATGTGCAACTTGCGTCAAACTGTTCTAAGTAGAAATTTATACTAAAAATTGTATAAATGTTGACTCTCACTTGGGACTATTGTTTTAAAATATTAATGAAATTCTATGTTCAGTTGAATTACTATAATATATCAATTTATTAGGTTATTCAATTTCAAATTTTTGTTATTAGCCTAAATGTTCCAAAAAATTGGAGCTATAACTGAATGACCACATACAGCATTTTACCATTTGCAAGTTTTTACAGTTTTTATTTCAGAATATTATTTAATTAGTATTTTTTTTTTGAGACAGTTATGTCCTTATTTGAATGGGTCTTGAAACTTCTAAATTCCTTCAACATAGCAGCCCTAATTTTAGCAGATATTCAGATGAAGCCTGGAATGAAAATAATCTTATTGTGGGACAGAATACAACAGAGTTAGCTATTGGAATTTTGGAGAGGATTTTTGTTATTGAGGAAATCACAGTAAATAATGAGGTAGATGGCACCAAGGCATCAAAGATCAAATGAAACTAATGTGAAAGATACCAACACTGCATAACCATTTTAACACCTACCAATTGGTAGCTTGGAAGAGGAGATATATAAATATACAGTATATAATCACAGGGCTCTTGTGACACAGATTGATTAGAAAATATCTGCAACATATTCTCAATCCCGTTAATCTTAAACAAGTTCTAATAAACAGATTAATTACTTTAATAAAGTTATACAAGAATATGATAACAAATTTGCGAAAAGTGATTTAAATGAATTGATATAACTCCTGTTAGTTATCTGAAGTAAAGACCCCCTGCTCGCTTTAACCTGAGGGTCATCACATCTTAGGTGAGGGGAGAGGGTAAGAAGGAGAGTCCTTCATGGTAACCTCAGCTGCTGCAGGAAATTAACCCATGCTGTTGGTATCACTCTGCATTACAAACTGGCTATCCAGCAAACTGAGCCAACCAATCCCCACTAATTGGCTGAGAAGGTGCATTAATAGACAGAATTGCTGTCTGATGGCAAAGTTTTTTTCCTGAAGATTTTATGTCTTAATCCTAGAATGAAATAAGTATTTTGAAAATTTAATTTAACTTGCAAAAAATGTTGGCATTTTATTCACTCATGGGATGTGAGCATTGTTGGCTTGGCCAGCATTTATTTCCCTATCCTTAGGTGCCCTTGAGAAGGTGCTGGTGATCTGTTGTTTTGAACTGCTGCATTCCATTTGGTATAGGTACACTCACAATATTGTCAGGGAGGGAGTTCAAGGACTTTGACGAAGAGACACTGAAAAGAGAGTGATATATTTCCAAGTCTGTCTGATGAGTGGCTTGGAGGGGGACTTGCGTGTTCCCATGTATCTTCTGCCCTTGTCCTTCTACCTGGAAATGGTAATGGTTTTGGAAAGTGCTTTCTAAGCCTTGGTGAATTTCTGTGGTGCATCTTGTGGATAGCACTAAGTGCTGCAACTGAGTGCCATTCGTGGAAGACCTAAGATGCTCCTGCTGTAGATCAATAGCATGTAAATACCTAACACCTGGTTCAAGTATGCCTAAAAAAGCCTTCTCTTTTTGCTTTGTTCTATGGTGGACTTTGCACTCCTGAACAGAACTATGCATGCTTATTGTCCACCATTTTGACTCTGTGCACTGTGCAAATAAAGAATGCTATGAATTACCAGCTATCTTATTAAAATTAAAGGCAGGTTGGATCCTAAACTGGAGGAGACAAAGTTGAAATATTCATATATTTATGGGGTAAAATCCAAGGCAACGTTATGTGGCTTATGTTTTTTCTCTTTAAATGTATACTAAGAGGTAAATATATACTTTTTTTAATACTAAAGATAGCTAGCAATGTAATATGTTTATTAACTTAATAAGTTTGTTAGAGTAACATTTCTACAAAAGTCTAGATCGGAATTAAAATTTTGATTATCATTATCGACTTAAATGCCATCACAGCAGTTTGAGATTTTGAAGTCAATTTTTAAAATATGCATATAAAAAGCTGTACAATTAAAACTTAACCAAAAGCTGCTGGATTATTCTATAAATAGAGAAAGAAAATTACAAAAAGGCAACTGCCATTCTCACCTGGCCTTCCCTGTGTGTGTCTTCAATCTCACACTAACATGGTTGACTCTTAACTGCTATATGGAGTGGTACAGCAAGCTATTTATGTTACCAATGCTTTCTGGGCAACTCAGGATAGGAAATGCATTCCAACCTTGTCAGCAACACCCATATCAAAGAATAAATTCTAAAACTTAAATTAGTTGTGCAAACAATTCAAAAAATTATCAAAATCAAATCATGCTTTGTAAAATAATTTAAATCAACTCAGTGTGGACCGGTAAATATCTTTTATTATACTTAAAAGAAAAATATGAGCCTTCTGAAAAAGATGCCTTGATGTCTGAACTGAAAATGATGATTCACATGGGGCGCCATGAAAACATTGTGAACCTCTTAGGAGCTTGTACTATTTCTGGTAAGAAAATTTTCCTTGAAGCTTAGTTCATATGTCTTCATATTTAAATCATGCTATTTACCGACTTACTCAATTGCTTACTCAAAATTTTAATTATGTGTTATTTTAGGTCCAGTATACCTAATCTTTGAGTATTGTTGCTATGGAGACCTTCTTAACTATTTAAGAAATAACCGGGAGAAATTTCATAAGACATTGACTGATGTATTTGCACATAACAACTTTAGCTTCTATCATAATCTTTACAACGATCAACAATTCAGGTAAACTAAATATTTATCTAATTTGCTATTGGTTGGTATTATTCTTTTCCAGTGTCCTTATGATTTCTATTGTGTTTGTTATGAAAAAGCATAAACATATAATCAGAAAATGTTTTATTTCCAATTTCCAAAATCAGTGAGAAACACTATTAGACTGACCAACATATAAATAAGGTATCATCAATTTGATTGAAATTTTCCACTGAATTTCCAATTCACTAATATTCTGTGAGTGTTAGTATGGCTTAGTGTTAAACCTTGCCTGAGTCAGAAGGTAACAAGGTGTAGAGCTGGATGAACACAGCTGGATGAACAGAGAGGTCCAGGAAGGAGAGGTCCACTTCACCAACACCTTCCACCCCAACCTTAAGTTCACCTGGACCATCTCTGATATCTCTCTCTCCTTCCTGGACCTCTCTGTTTCCATCTCTGGCAACCACCCAGAAACCGATATCCATTTCAAGCCCACCGACTCCCACAGCTACCTAGACTACACCTCCTCCCACCCACCTTCCTGCAAAAATACCATCCCCTATTCCCAATTCCTTCGCCTCCACCGCATCTGCTCCAAGGATGAGGCATTCCACTCCCGCACATCTCAGATGTCCTCGTTTTTCAAGGACCGCAACTTCCCCCCGTCAGTGGTCGAGAACACCCTCGACCGTGTCTCCCGCATTTCCCGCAACTCATCCCTCACACCCCCTCCCCGCAATAACAACCAAAACAGAAACCCCCTCGTCCTCATGTACCATCCCACCAACCTCCGGATCCAACGTATCATCCTCCGACACTTCCGCCATCTGCAATCCGACCCCACCACCAAAGACATTTTTCCCTCCCCACCCTTATCTGCTTTCCGGAGGGACCACTCTTTCCGCGACTCCCTTGTCTGCTCCACACTCCCCTCCAGCCCCACCACACCCGGCACTTTTCCCTGCAACTGCAGGAAATGCTACACCTGCCCCTACACCTCCCCCCTCACCCCCATCCCAGGCCCCAAGAAGACTTTCCACATCAAGCAGATGTTCACCTGCACATCTGCTAATGTGGTATACTGCATCCGCTGTTCCTGTTGTGGCCTCCTCTACATTGGGGAAACCAAGCGGAGGCTTGGGGACCGCTTTGCAGAACACCTACGCTCGGTTCGCACTAAACAACTGCACCTCCCAGTTGCGAACCATTTCAACTCCCCCTCCCATTCCTCAGATGACATGTCCATCCTAGGCCTCCTGCAGTGCCACAACGATGCCACCTGAAGGTTGCAGGAACAGCAACTCATATTCCGTTTGGGAACCCTGCAGCCCAATGGTATCACTGTGGACTTCACAAGCTTCAAAATCTCCCCCGCCTCTACCGCATCCCAAAACCAGCCCAGCTCGTCCCCTCCTCCCTAAGCTGTCCTTCCTCCCACCTATCCCCTCCTCCCACCTCAAGCCCCACCCCCATCTCCTACCTACTAACCTCATCCCGCCCCCTTGATCTGTCCATCCTCCCTGGACTGACCTATCTCCTCCCTAACTCCCCACCTACACTCACCTTTACTGGCTCCATCTCCGCCTCTTTGACCTGTCTGTCTCCTCTCCACCTACCTTCTCCTCTATCCATCTTCTATCCGCCTCCCCCTCTCTCCCTATTTATTTCAGAACCCCCTTCCCCTCCCCCATTTCTGAAGAAGGGTCTAGGCCCGAAACATCAGCCTTCCTGCTCCTCTGATGCTGCTTGGCCTGCTGTGTTCATCCAGCTCCACACCTTGTTATCTCAGATTCTCCAGCATCTGCAGTTCCTACCATCTCTGAGTCAGAAGATTACAGGTTGAACTTTCATTTTAGCACTAGCACGACATTTCAGACTGAGAGTGATCTGCATTGTCAGTATTGCTGATTTTCAGCTTGGTCAGATGAACATGAAAGGCACTGTGCCACTTTTGCAATGCAGCATAATGCTGACAATTATCCCTCCGTTTAATTCCATCAGGACAGATTGACTGGTCAGATGTCTTGTCTTTGGGATTTTGCTGTGTGCAAATAGGCTCCTGCATTTGCTGACAGTATGCTGTCCAAAAGTAATTAGTTGACCTTGAAATATTTTGGCATATCTTCAGAACATGTAATACATTTTATAAATTGAAGCTTTATCTCTAATAATCAGTAAATATAGTTTGTACTTGTTGAAAATCATCCAATAATGATTTACAAAAATATTTTGCAATTACACGAAAAGGAATAATAACCAAAAAAAAATACAGAATATTCTTCTTTAAAGGTAAACGTAAAGTTGTCATAATCCTACTGGAACACAGGGCTGCTGTCTCATTAGAGACAGATGACTGGAAGTGGTTGAACCTGAGGGTCACCACACCCCAGGTGAGGGGAGAGGTTGAAAAGGAGAGTCTTTCATGGTAACTGCAGCCAGTGTGGGAATTGAAGCCACACTGTTGGCATCACTGTGCATTACGAACCTACATCCAACCAACTAAATTAGTAAAGAAGAAATAATTATTTGATCTTTGCAATCACAAACAAATTGTCTCATCTGTGCCAAGGAACTTAATTTTCTTCTAATATCTATCTGCCCCTGTTCTGGATATACAGGCACTGATTTTCCAACCCCTCAAACTCCAGCATAAAGTGGACATTGTATATTTGCTCAAACCTACCCTGACCTTAGTTCAACCAATCATAAATCTAAGTTATTACTTTTAAATGCATTGAATCACTAAGAGCACTGGGAACTGATGCCTGTCTAGAGGTGTGAGATAAATGGTTGTCATTGCATGCAAAGCAATCTGGCAGAAGTATAGACTTCACAGCTGTCCATTAGCTCCAAAGTAAAGTATTGAAGGCCTGAACCTGGTCCGAGGGCAGGCATGTGGTGAGGTTGGTGGTTTTCCAAAGAGAAGCTGCATGGATGAAGGATTGAGGAGGATGGTGGCCATGGAACAGGCAGTGATGTTGTGCAGAAGAAGCAGCGGCATGATGGCTGAAACAGGCATTCAGTGAGCTGCAGCCACCCAGTAGCCACTCTATTTTACCTATCAGGACTTTGTACCATCTAGTTTCTGGGTGGAGGAGAAGAGAACTGGAAGTGAAATGTAAATTGAGTACATTGGGGTCTTAATGAGATGCAAGTGCACGGAAATAAGATAGTCGCCACTCAGAAGTGATATTCTGAAGTTGTCATTTAAGGCTAGAGGGAAAAATCAGGAGTGTTTATCTTGACAGCAAGATATTGTTTTCTCACCCTATTTTTGTCACCATACTCTCCATTACTCCTGCCATGATAAGGAGGGGAAAATTCCGCCCATTTTCCCAAACAGCAATAGTAGGAACTGCAGATGCTGGAGAATCCGAGACAACAAGGTGCAGAGCTGGATGAACACAGCAGGCCAAGCAGCATCATAGGAGCAGAAAGGCTGACGTTTTGAGTCGAGGCCCGAAACGTCAGCCTTTCTGCTCCCAAACAGTGAGACTGACAACTTTTAAATGAATATCATACAAGATCATCCTGGTCTTCAGATCTACTGATCAATTGTGAATTGATTACAAGCAGTAATAAATGTTTATTTTGTTACCTGATATAAATATTTATTTTGCAATGGAAAGTATTTTTTAGTGGGAATGGGACCTATTTTATAAAATAGAGCTTCTTTGTTCTCTGTTTTGAACAGCTACAAAGCTGGAAATTTTGTGCAAAATCAATCTTATGTACCAATGAATAGAGAACCTGATACTGGTATGTTGTCACAAAGGTGTGATTGTGATTTACTATTCCATGAGGATGAACTAACATGTCCATTAAATACAGGTAAGAAATTTTGTGTGTAATTCTCAAGCAATTGATTCTATCACTCCAAGGATAAATACTGTGTTGCAAAATAGAACACAGATGACATTGTAACTGATCTGTTGTTTATTTGAACAAAATGGAAAAACCCATAGTCAAGGTCAGTGTTCTATTTACTGCATATGTAACTAGTTCACATGGTATCTTACACAGTTTAGGAGGGAGCATCCACTCTTGTTCAACACATAAGTTTAATGTTATAAATATATAATGCATATATTAGATTGCAATTCAAGTATGTCAGCTGCCAAGGAGAAGCATCAAATCAGGTTGCTTTTTTAGTGGAACAAGAACAGAAAGTGCAGGCAAAACTTAGCAGGTGTCAGAACGTTCTGACAAGGGAACTTTGGACTTGAAACATTAAATCTGTTTTTCTCTCTACAGGTTCTGTCAGACCTGCTGAGTTTCTCCAGCATTTTCTGTTTTTGTTTGCAGTTCTTTGTGTTTATTTTAATGAGGCTTCTTTAGTGGCTGTGTTATAGGAAGATGCAGGTTCATGAAAGTGGTGCAGAGGAAACCCAGAGAGTTCTCGGTATAAAACAGTAATATATACAGTTTACTTTAGAAGTAATGAAGACCTTGTTGTGGAGTCACAAATAGAACATTTGCCTCAACAAAATTTGCCCTGTAATTGAAAACTTTTAATATTTATGTGGTAGGTACTCATTATATTAAAACAAGTTTGCATCTAACACCAGTCCCTATGTATATAAAAATCGAATAATCTCCTAACAAACTTAACAGTTCTCCAATGTAACAAATAATTACTTTAGATTTAAAGATGCCAAAAAAATTAAGTGTAGATTAATATCTACAGAGTAGCATATAAGAAATTATTTGACTGCCAGTCACTTTCGATTACTCAATCATTTTGAACATTTATCTATCTAGAAGCTGACTATCAGAATGCCAGGAGATATGAAGATGAAGATTTGCATGTTCTTACTTTTGAGGATCTCCTGAGCTTTTCATATCAAGTTGCCAAAGGGATGGAATTCCTGACTTCACGAAGTGTATGCTTACTTAAGAAGTCTTTGAATCAAATAACCAAAATTGTAGCTTTGTTTTTTCAAAGTGAATTAATGATTGATCTTTATTAGTGTATTCACAGAGATCTGGCAGCAAGGAATGTGTTAGTTACCCATGGGAAAGTAGCAAAAATATGTGATTTTGGATTGGCCAGGGACATCATGCAAGATTCTAACTATGTCGTCAGAGGCAATGTAAGTCCATGTTCATGTTTGTTTCTTGTTGCCATCTCACCTAGTGATTCATATATACTGTAAGTAATTTTAGCACTTGGGGACAATGTAAACTATGTGATCGTAGATTGTCCATTTGTTATACAACCCTTGCATATTTTTTAATTCACTTTGGGATGCAGGTGATGCTGACTGGGCCAACATTTATTGCTCATCCCTTGAGAAGGTGGTGGTGAGCAGCCTTCTTGAGCCCTGCTGTTGTCTATCTATCTATTTATCTATCTATCTATCTATCTGTCTGTCTGTCTGTCTATCTATATCTGTCTATCTGTCTGTCCATCTATCTATCTGTCTATCTATCTATCTGTCTATCTATCTATCTGTCTATCTATCTAATCTACTTACCTAACAACAATGTAAAATTTGTCTCCATTCTCCTGTCTATTTTTTAACAATGTAAAAGAAAAGAAGGAGAGATGTTTCATTGGTGGCCAATTGACTGTTGTCAACTTTAAAGAACCAAGAAATTTTTTTTCTTTCCTCTGTGCTCCCTTCCATTGTTTGTTGCAAGATGGCAATTAGGAGCAGGAATTCTAATTTTGTACTCTAATCCCACACTAAGATTTTAATAATTGTCACTGTTCCCACTGAGATTAACTAATTCAGCTCGTGCTGAACTTAGAACCTTTGAACTTTCTGATTTACCCCACTATTGATCAGTAAAATTACAAGGTAATTAAATGGTTTAAATGAGTACTAACATTATTGCACAAATGTTGGTAATTTGAAATAAAACAGAAACTGCTGGAAATATATAACATGTGTATTAGTATTAGTAAAATGCAATGCAAGTTAATATTGCTAATTTGACCCTTTATCAACATAGAACATAGAACTGTACAGCACAGGAACGGGCCCTTTGGACTGAACATGACACCAAATGAAAATAATCCCTCTGCTTGCCATAGTTCCATATCCCTCCATTCCTTGCATATTCACGTGCTTATCTAAAAGTCTCTTAAATGCCTGTATTATACCTGCCTCCACCACCACCCCTGCCAGTGTGTTCCAGGCTCCTACCACCCTCTGTGTAAAAAAAATTGCCCTCATATCTCCTTTGAACTTTCCCCCTCTAACTTTAAATGAAACTCCCTCTTGTATTAGACATTTCAACTCTGGGAAAAAGATTCTGACTGTCAACCCTATCTATGCATCTCAAAATTTTATAGATTTCTATCAAGTCTCCCCTCAGCCTCCGCCGGTCAAGAGAAAACAACCCGAGTTTTCCTAGCCCCTTCTTATAGCTCGTACCCTCTAATCCAGGCAGCTTCCTGGTAAACCTCTTCTGCACCATCTCCAAGGCCTCCACATCCTTCCTGTAATGTGGTGACCAGAATTGGACACAATACTCTAAATGTGACCTAACCAATGTCTTATAAAGCTGCAACATGACATCCTGACTCTTGTACTCAATTCCCCAAGCAACAGAGGCAAGCATGCCATACACCTTCTTTATCACCCTATCTTCCGTGGCTAGTTTCAGGGAGCTATGGACTTGAATCCCATGATCCTTCTGTACATCAGTGCAGTTCAGGATCCTGCCATTAACTGTATACTTTTCCTTAATATTTGATCTCCCAAAGTGCAGCACGTCACACTTACCCAGATTAAACTCCATCTGTCATTTCCCCAACATATCTACAACTGATCTATATCCCGCTGTATCCTTTGACAACCTTCTACACTATCAACAACTCCACCAATCTTTATATCGTCTGCAAACTTACTAACCCTTCTGCAAAAGGGTCCTGACCCAAAACGTCAACTTTCCTGCTCCTTTAATGCTGCCTGGCCTGCTGTGTTCCTCCAACTCCACACGGTGTTGTCTATAACCCACCTCACGTACTTATTCATCAAAGTCATTTATATATATCACAAACAGCAGAGGTCCCAGTATGGATCCTTGTGAACACCACTTGTCAGGGCCCTCCAGCCTGAAAAATACCCTTCCACCTAAACCCTCTGTCTTTTATGGGCAAGCCAATTCTGAATCCATGTGGCCAAATCACCGTGGATTCCATGCATCTTAATCTTCTGGATGAGCACACCTGGAGAGTCCTTGTCAAAAGCCTTACTAAAATCCATGTAAACACCACCCACTGCTCTACCCTCATTGATCACCTTTGACACCCCCTTGAAAAATTCAATCAAGTTAGTAAGATGTGACCTGCCCTGCACAAAGCCATGCTGACCGTCCCTAATTAGGCCATGATTTTCCAAATGTGCGTAAATCCTATCCCTGACAATTCTCTCCAATAGCTTCCCAACCACTGATGAGAGACTCACCGTTCTATAGTTTCCTGGATTATCCTTATTTCCTTCTTGAACAGAGGAACAACATTAGCTACTCGCCAGTCCTGCGGGACCTCTCCAGTGGCTAGTGAGAATACAAAGATCTTGGTCAAGGCCCCAGCAATCTCTTCTTTTGCCTCTCTCAATAACCTGGGGTAGACACCATAGTGCCCTGGGGACCTATCCACCTTAATGCTGTTCAAGAGATCCCAATCCACTTCTTTCTTGGTCTCAAAATGGCCTAGCATATTAGCACGCTCTACACAAATCTCACTATCCTCCATATGCTTTTCCTGGGTGAATACTGATGCAAAGTACTGATTTAGGATCTCACCCACATCCTCTGCCTCCAAGCACAAGTTCCCTCCTTTATCTTTGAGTGGTCCCACCTTCTCCCTAGTTATCCTCTTGTTTTTAATGTATCTATAGAATGTCTTGGGATTCTCCTTAACCCTACTTGCCAAGGTCATTTCATGGCCCCTTCTTGCCTTCCTAATTCCCTGCTTGAGTACTTTCCTGCTTTCCTTGTATTCCTCACAGGCCCTGTCCGATTTTAGCTTCCTAAACCTTAAATATGCATTTTTTTTTTGCCTTTTGACTAAATCACAACCTTCCTCATTATCCAAGGGTCCCTTATCTTGCCATCCTTCTCTTTCCTCCTTACTGGAACATGCCGGTCTTAAACTCTCCCCAGCAGGTCTTTAAGCAGTTCCCACATGTCTAATGTAGACTTACTTCATATCAGCTTCTCCCAATTAACACTCCCTAGCTCCTGCCTAATACTGACGTAATTTGCCCTCCCCTAATTTAGTACCTTCCTGCAAGGTCCTGATTTATCATTGTTTGTAGCTATCTTAAAACTTAAGGAGTTATGATCACTGTTAGCAAAATGCTCTCCCACTGAAAGGTTACTCTCCTGTCCAGGCTTATTAGCCCAATTCAAGGCCCAGTATGGCCCGTCCTCTGGTTGGACTGTCTACATACCATTTCAAGAAACCCTCTTGGTTGCACTTAACAAATTCCGTTCCCTCTAAGCCTCTTACTCTAAGGAAGTCCCAATCAAAACCAGAGAAGTTAAAGTCACCCACTATAACAACTCTGTTTTTATTGCACCTTTCCATAACCTGCCTACATATTTGTTCCTCAATCTCCTGGTGGCTGTTGGGAGGCCTATATTATAATCCTATCAGAGTGATTGTTTTTTTGAGTTCTACCCATATTGCCTCAGTGGATGAGCCCTCCAGCATGTCCTCTCTGAGTGCAGATGTAACATTCTCCCTGATTAGTAATGCAACTCCTCCACCTCTTTCACTTTCTTCTCTACCTCGTCTAAAACAATGAAACCCTGGAACGTTGAGCAGCCAGCCCTATCCCTCTCTCAACCACATCTCTGTAACGGCTACAGCATCATGGTCCCATGTATTGATCCAGCCTCTAACTCATCTGCCTAACCTATAATACTCCTTGCATTGAAATAAACATACTTCAGCCCATTAGTACCATCGTGTTCATTTACATGTCTCTGTGTGTCCTTTCTTTCTGATTTAATGGTTCTTACATTTACCTTCCCCTCAATCCCTCCACTTGCTGACCTGCTGCTCTGGTTCCCAGCCCCTTGCTACTTGAGTTTAAATCCTCCCGAGTAGCACTAGCGAACTTCCCTGCGAGGATATTGATTCCCCTCCAGGTCACCTCTGCCCCAGAAGAGGTCCCAATGATTCAGGAACCTGAAACCCTGCCCCCTGCACGAGCTCCTCAGCCTCACCTCCCTCAAGTTCTCAAGGAAGTGGATAAATTGCTCTTTACACCATTTGAGCTGAGCTCTCTATAATCTCTTTCACCGATTTGTCTCACCCCTGAACAGTGACCCTCTCGCCTAATGATTTAGATGTATATGTAAAATCTATGGGACCACTTGAAGGAAAATGTAGGAACCAATGTTTATCCATCAACTAACATCTCATTTATCAATATAACTCATTGATATCTATGAGAATCAGTTGTCTTCAAACTGGTTCAGAGATAGTAGGAACTGCAGATGCTGGAGAATCCGAGACAACAAGGTGCAGGGCTGGATGAACACAGCAGGCCAAGCAGCATCATAGGAGCAGAGAGGCTGACGTTTCGGGCCTAGACCCTTCATCAGAAGGGTCT